GTCACCTGTGTAACTGTGCCATGTCTTGATTCAGAAACTGAGCCCTGATTGAGCTCTTTTGCTTCACTGACCCTGATGGGAGCAGGTTGTGAAGTAACACAGAGCGTGTCCTTGCATTGCCTCACCCGGGAAGTGTGGTGCACATTGGGATTTACCTGCCCATAAATACAGAGGCTGGTTAAGTGTTAGATGGGAAGAAATGCAACCCTTCTCCAGCTGGCTTTGAATGCTCATATTTTCTCTGGGTTTAATCTGTTTACCATGACATTACTACTAATGGTTTTACCATCAGTTCTGCTTTCCCACCAGCATCAAGTATGGAGTTTCCAGAGGGGCAATCCTGGCTGTCGGCCTCGTTCCTGGCCACACCATCAGTCTCACAGCGAGTGTGCCCTGGGCCACCCATCCCACTTTTTGAAACCCTTTAAAACTCTTTTAAGGGATGCTTTAATGCATCCACCACACTTGCCTAATGGCCGCAGGAAAATGAAAAGGAGAGGCTTTTCTTATGTTGTTAAGCAGTGTTTGGCTGATCTTATGGGCTTCTGGCCTCTAGGTCCTTCTGCTTATGTTTTCTTCCTATTTCTTTGAAAGCTTTAAGTTGAGGCAAGCTGCACCTGCTCCTGTTGGCAAAAACTAGCAAAAACTAGTCCTCCTCTGGGTTCATGTGTTTGCTCCCTGCAGCCTATTGCTTTGCACTCTACTGGTGGCAGGACCTTGGGGCACATCAGTCCCATGCAGGGCAGAATGATGAATTTTGTTCCTCCCTTTCACAGCAAGGCTGAAAACACACAAAAAAGAGCAGGCAGCTGTGGTCCTAGCTGACCTGAGAGGAGCTTTGCTAGCAGAAAACCCTGGGGGAGAGCAAGGAAGACTGCTGGCAAAAGTCAGCAAGGGACTCTCTCTCCAGATACAAGAGAAGCAAAGGAATTATAAGTAACATGCTGAATTATGCAGATAAAGTTACTCATGTTATCTTGACCATAAAGCCCAGGACGGTAAAGGTTCTTAACCTCTATTAATCAGCAAGAAGCTGGAAGAGGCCGCACAATGATCTCAGCTGCTGAAGCTGCTTGTGCCCTTTTGCTCCCTTTAATTTAATTGTATTAGTTCTGCCCACATCCTTTGTTCTTCCGCCCCGCTCAGGAAATCTGCTGCTGGATTTGGCACAGCTCATTCTGGCTCCACATGGCTGGTTTGTGGACGGCCAGGAGGGACGAGAGGGAGGGCAGGAAGGGAAGAGGATAGGAAAAGGTCCCACAGGAGCAACCTAATTAACATGCCTCATTTGTCTTAATAGTGCCACTGTGTCCCTTCCTGATGAAACTTCCTCCTGATAAGCCAAACAGGCAAAATTGAATGCAGAGGGACTCCCACTGACATCGACAGATATGAGATTTCATGCTTAAATTTTTTAAAAAATAAAGAGTGCCATAAGCCAAGTATTGCATGGCAGGAGCTGTCAACCCAGTGATCATCCCTACCCCTAGCCCTTGGCTCTGCTGAGGGGTCAGGTTGTCTCACCCTTGGCTTAGCTGTTGTGGTTTGCACCACTTGTTCCTCATCAGACCAGTGAGAAATAAGAGCAACAGCTTAGCCCCAAGTCCTCCACTCACTTAGCATGCAGAAAAAGGGGTCCGGTGAGCATAGCAGAGGGATTATCAGTGCCAACCCCCAGCTGTTTTCTCTGCCGGTGTCAATAGCATCACGTACCCCTTGCCAAAGTTCTGTTCTTCAGGACTGTTGTGGGGTGCAAACCCTCCCCTGCCCTCCTGCTGCTTGCTGGACTCCTCCAAACCACCACCACCTCCCTCCCACCGGCCTCCCCAGGGCTGCAGCATCCAAGGGTGTGGGTAGAGTTTTCCTCATCACCAGTGACATGAAGCATCTCTAGCTGAGGATCCAGCAGTTTCCACAGCAAATACACCGTCCCCCAGTCTCCTGTCAGCATCGTTGCAAGAATACTCCCACCTCAACGCATTGGCATTTGTCTTCCCTGCTGCCAGAAATAATGATTCACCACATGCGTGCTGCTTTTAGCATGTGTGTCCCTCTATATGACGGTATAAATATTTGTGTGTTTTTGTATAACAGGAAAAGACAATGTGTGCAGTCCCTCGCCTACCCAAGCCCCAAAGCAATCCTCAGGGGGGGTTCAGACATTGATGACATGTCAGGAAAACCACCCTGCACTGCTGCTTTATAAAGCAGCTGCCTTTCACTGATGCTGTACTGGAGGGGTGGCACAGGAGGTGTCGTTATGCGTAATTCATGGGTTGTAGTGGAAACTTCAGAAAAAAAGAAACAAAGATATACCAGAAAAAAAAAAATAAGGGCCTGCTGTGTTGATATGGCGTTTTTATGACCCTTGGTTTCGCTTCATCTTAAATGAGCAAACAAACAAATGCAGGGTGGTTTCCTGGACACAGATACGTTATCTCCAGTTCGAGAGTTCATCCCTGCCAAAGGATGAGGTAGCAGAGCAGCTAACCCGAGGGTGTACCTTCAGCACCTTTCCATCAAGGAACGATATTTGGAAAAAGATGAAGCACTTCCAGAAAGCTGTGGTTAGGAAAAGGGATTTTCAGATTATTTTGAACACTTCAGGCTTGCCTGGGAAACAAGACTTTGAGCTCCATATTTTACTGGATTTCTCCGACTTCAGAGTCCAGCCATACAAAACGGCACAAATCCATTATGGCAAGCCCAGGTTTCCTCAGATGTGTAAAATGTCAAGGTTCTCCCTTTCACAGCAGTGAATCAGTCTTATGCTTGCAGTCAAGTAGAGCGTTGTTTGCTTGCTAGTTTTATAGGGGGATCCTTCCTTCATTGCTTGCTGCAGTTCTTGGATCTGAAGAGTAAAACATATTTATGTTGGCATGTGGGATTCTGGAAAACCCCAGGAAAAAATAGGACCGGAACAGTTTTTCTATTCAATGAAAATTTATGACAATTGAAATGATGTGTTTTTTCATACCAGAATGAAAGCTTGAAATATAGAAACTCCAGAAAACATTAAGCCAGCTGCAGCTACTTATTTTGATTATTTTATCCTTTCTATTTTGTTAGTAAATTTATGTTGCAACGCAAAGTAGAAATTCCAGATTTCTTGGATAAAAATTTGGGTCTAAAAAGTTGATTTCAGTAGTTTGGGAACTGTTTGGTAGATAATTTTAAATCAGAAAGTGGCAATCTCCTGTGCTAAAAATAAAAAATAACGATCCGGTAAATGACTAATTTTGTGGTCCGGGGTAATTAGTGGAACAGCTTGGCAGATGGAAGGCAGCAGGTCTAAATTACTGCACTAAGTCCATTTGCAGGAAGATATTATCTGACTTTGTTGTTATTAATAATAATTAATGAGAATTAAAATATTCAGCTTGAATTTTTGCCGTTGTTGTTAGCGGGAATATGTGTGTATATAGATGTGTAGTTGCTCTTTGATGCTTTTCTCGGTTGTTTGCATCTCAATCCTTGACTGTCTTGCTCTGGGACTTTAATAATACTCCAGAAATTATTCAGACCGCACCTTTGTCTAGCATGGAGGAAACTTGAGGCTTTCACAATTAGTGCTGCTGGTTATTCCGTGAAAAACCCGTACCGTGGTCTGACAGGGCAAGCAGCACAGAGTCAGGCAATAAGCAGCCCTTTATCAGCAGGCTCAGAGGGAGAATCGGTTGGCAGCTCGCAGCTCACTTTGCATCTTGGTTTTGCAGCAGAGGCTGCAGGGACGGTGTGGTCCCCCCCGAGTCTGCACAGGCTCGCACAGCTCCAAAGCCTTCTCTGGTGAAATCCAGCCATTACTGTGCTGAAGACCAAGGTGTTTAAATTTCAATGCCTCCAAGACACCGTGATGGGCACTTAGTCTTGTGCCCTTCATGACACCAGCCTTTGGTGCTTCTGCTGGACATTCCCACCCCAAACCTGCGCCCTGAAACCCTCTGACTAACAGGGTTCCCATGATGGGTTGAGTGGATAATTGCTCTCACTGTTAAAAACAAAACATACTTCTCCCTTTGTTTTCAGCTCAGCTCTGCTGAGTTTCAGTCTTCCAGCCCTGGACTTTGTTCCACCTGTGTTTGGCAGAGTTAAAGCCCTTCAGAGTCTGAAATCTTCCCACACGCTCTTAAAGACTAGGAGTCATTATTTCCTAATCTCTTTTAAGAGGACAGCGATAACTGAGAACTTATAATTGACTATATTGACTTTTACATGGTTTGTGTTTGGGGTTTTTAGATAAACTGTAATTGTTCCTTTTTATCACTGTAAAACTGCTGTTAATAATTGCTGTCCACTGTGTCTACATCTAAGGAAGCGGCCCCACTTCTGTTAAAGATCCAAGTGCTTTGGGCTCTGATGGACAGTTGAAAGGGTGTTGATTTGGTTTTGGGCACCTTTGGAGAAAAGTAAGTGCATCAATCAAAGTGCTGTTTACTCACCTCCTCAGAAGGTCTTGTAAATCATGTTTGTTATTTTTAGCGGCTCCTTTTCAAGTGGTATTGTATCTCCGGTGGTTTCGGTTCTGGGTTGTAGGCTGGGCTGTATGCTACCATCCTTAATCATCTTGAGTGCTTTTTTCACTTTCCTTAATTTCATTTGATTTTATTGCGAAATTTCAAAGGGTGAGATGATACTTAGATGAATGAAATTGGGGATTAGATGGGGAATTAGATGGATCCTAACAAGCAGATGCTGTGCTTTTGGTGGGAAGATTTCTAAGCTCTTTAAACCAAGAGAGGCTTTTTTTCTCTGACACAGATTTAAAAGCATTGTATCATACCCTATTATTCCTATTATTAATACAATTGATAAACTGTCTTAATGGCAATAGCCATCTTTTGGAGAAATTTTGAACCTTGGTCATATCCAAAGCTTTCATGAAAGGCTTATTTACTGTGACTTCAAGAGGACTGTTCCTCACCCAAGTGCCCAAGCCTTTGCAGGATGGAGATATACATTTATTATATTTATCCACTTACCTGTATTTTTTCTGTTTGCAGCATTTTTGTTCCTACATATGTCGGTCTGGTGGGAAATCTCATAAATACCATGATAGTAGTGGTTTTCATCCCTTTGCAAGCTAAACCAAAGTCAGACCATCGTGTGACAGAGCACAGTAAGTATTTACTGTTTCTGATAAATAGCACATGAATAGGGACAGGAGATTGATACTCTGTAAGGACTGCTAAAGGACTTGGGATTGCATTTAAGGGCAAAAAGGTGTCAACCTTGAAATGATGACACTTTAATGCCTAATCTGTGCTTATGGAAAATATTGTTCCCTACCTGTCGACTACTCTGCCGTGCAGAATTGCAGGCTTCCAGCCTGGTGCTCGCCATGCATCTCAGAAAAGTTAATGTGGACCCCTTGCTGGGGGCTAGTTTGGCCTGGCATGGGAGACAATCCCACGGTCTCACAGGGGTCCTCTGCATGCAGACCTGGCACCGCTGCCTGACCTCCTGCCATCGGCAGACAGCTGCCTTTTCAGAAAGGTGGCGGTGAACCCGAGCAGGCAGTCTCAGAGTTTCTTGCTTCCTGCCTCTAACCTATATAAATACAGTATTAATCAATGTGTCATCTTCTGTAGGCTCATCACAGTCTGGCAGCGTGTTTAGCATCAGAGAAATCCTACGCCTGATGAAGTTTCCGGGAGTAATGGAAGTTTTCATAGTCAAGGTCTTTGCTGGACTTCCCGCAGGTAAATCTTACCCATTACCTGTGATTGCTGAAGTATTTAAAATAAGATGATACACACTATAGACCAGGCTTGTCTCAGGTTACTGAGAGCATGTTGCGTTTGACCACGGAGCAGTGAGGATTCAGCTCCTAACTCGATGCTGGATGGTTTCAAATGCTTTCAGCTATGTAGGGTCAAAACCCTGGAACTTAATGTAAAACAGACTACTTGTCACAGGCTGCTTCTGTGACTTTTGGCAAATCACTTAATCTCTCTACTCCATCCCCCTAGCTGCAAATGTTTTTTTTTCTTGTCTGTCATTTCTATTCAGGCTGTAACCTCTTCAGAGCAGAGGGAAATCATCTGTACTCTGCCAGAAACACTGAGGTCCTTCCTGATTTTACTTAATGATTTTAAGGGGTATGAGTACCCTAACCTTTTTCCCAACAACTGAAAACTGTTGCTGGATGAGAGCCTGTGGCTGCTCTGTTGGCTGCATGCAGGGAAGCCACAGCATGTTTATTCCCTTGCACACTGATGATGGTGTTTGTTCTTCTCTTCTTTATGTATTCTGCTCATTTTTTTGTGTCTTGGGTAGGAACATGCTGCTACCTCAAACACATCCCAAACCTGCCTGTGTCCCTGCTCCCTTTGAGTCAGTTGCTGTCCTTGCATGGTCATGTCTCCCAATTTGCCTGGTTATACATATCCTTGGCCACAATTTAATAATTTTTAATTTTGCCTGCCCTCTAGATTCTTTCCCCCCCCTGCTCGTCTAGAGACAAGCCAGTTTGTCTGCCTTGTTAGTGGTGGTGTAAGGACAGGGTGATGTTCTCTGCCCTTCCACACAGAAAGCCTTCTTGGCTCTTTTCCCAGTCAAACCTAGAAGTGCAGTTTCTCTTGATTATGGTTTCAAGGATTTAATTTTGTGCGCATCAAAACACGTGTACATCATGCATCTGAACAAACTAAGGCACTTCCCTTCCAAACAGGGATCCTAAGAGAGGATTTAAGGCACCTTAGCTTTTATACTTTGCATCTTTTTTTCTATTCATCTATATCTGGAGAAGCCGTTGAAGTTTAAATAATGGGAAATATCATTTACAAATTAAATTCTAATTTGTAAACTGTAAATTCAGTTTACAAATGAAAGTCGATTTGGCTGTGCAGAGTGGCTGTATCAGAAGGCGATGGCATTTCTGGGCTTGGCCAGGTTCATCTGTTATTCCTTGCTGAGGCTCTGGGGGAACAAGTCTGACTGGAGCTGCAGAATAACATTCAGGGAAGTAAAGGATTTTTGGTTGTGTTTTTCTTTTTTATTTTTGTGTGTAGTTGGCACTGGTTGAGATCAGTAATGCCAACTGGTCCTACCTGCACCACTGGAGACATGATGCAGTCTTGATGGACTGCTGGCTTGCCCTAATAGTGCACTTTTTTGTGCACTTTTTTGTGCACTATTGAAACTAAACTTTTAAAACTATCTTTTTAGAAGTGTTTATAAAATGACAGTATTTCACAGAATAAGAGAGTCAAGCAATGTTTTAAGAGGGTTTTCTTTGCTGATTCTGGCTTATTTCTCAGCTTAAAGTAGCATTCATTTCTCCATTTAAAATTGCCTGAGACCGCATCCATATGCAATCTGCATGGTAATTTCCTGTGTGCTCTCCTTTTTCCAAAGGCCGGGCAAAATTCACTTTGTTTTAGTCATCTCTGCTGAAATGCAAATTCCTCCCTGTTGCTGAAGACATTCTTCTTTTCCCATGCACAGCAAAAATGCACACCCAACAAAAGTGAACGTCTCCAGTCCAAAACTGCAAGGGAACTTCTAAGCAAAGAGGATGGAGACAGTGAAGCTGAGATTTAAGGCAGGACATGGGCTGATAGTCTGCACTGAAATGGCTGAGAGTATTTTCTTAAATACAGGAATGGGTTCACTTGGAGCATTCCTGCCACAAGTATAGTGCTTGCAGCACAGTGAGAAGTGATTAAAATGCTAGCGCCTTCCCTTTGCAGGTCTCACTTCATTTCAGGTGGCTGACCGTAGGATGGCAGCTGAAAGGGGATTTGGCATTCACCTAGTTCTCTTCAGCTCACAGCTGAGGCTGAGCTCCTCATGAGCTCATTTACCTTTCATCTCCAGGCTCCAACTGTATAATTAATTAGATCACCCAAATTACAGACCATTCTCTATTTACTTTGTAAACAAGTTTGTGATATACACAGAAGAAACCCTTCTGTTCCTTATGGATCTCATTGTTGTCTAAAATTAGCTTGTTTGAGACTGAAAGAGCCTCCCCGGGAGGGCTGCAGGGCTGGGATCCTCCTCCCTGTGTTGCATAAAAGCAGAGACATGGGCTCTGTGGCTCTTGCAGGAGGGTAGCTGCCAGGGGATGGACGGGTGGCAGAGCACTCCAGCATGGCTGAGTAACATTCTCAGCTGACCTGGGAAAACAGAGACTCGTTGCATTGTGGTAGATAAGAGACAGAAAATAAAACACCAGGATAAAAATGTCAAACCATACCTCTTAGTGACCAGAAATCACCAGGGCCTTGAAAATACTGATAAATAGCTGCTTGTATGAATCTTTGGCTTGCGTAAATCCCTTTGGAAAACCTGGTTTTAATATTATTGCTTTAGCACCTGTGTCCCATTTTTAAAAGGACTTTCTTTCACATGTGGAACAGCATTTTGCAGTGAGCCCTAGGGCTCTGCTACCCATCACCCTCCAGTGTAGGAGGACTAAGACAGGCTCCCAGAGTCTGTGCTCGCCTTCTCACACTGCTCTTAGAAATGTCAAGTCTTTTTTCTGAAAATACATTTTGCATTCCTGTGTCTCCTCGGTGCTTTTGTCGTTTTCTTTACCACATCCTGCAAACCATTTACCTGCCTTCTGCTGCATCACCCTAGTTACTCATGCTGCTGGTACCAGGTTTTCTGAGTTTACCCCTTATTTAGACCCCTTAAAAAAGGTGATGTTTCTGAAGGTGGTTTTTGCCATTTTCCTTTTTTTTTCCATGTTGAAAACCTGAGCCTTGCAGTGTGAATTGAGGCTTATCTGGGCAGCTTCTGCGTGAGCTTTTGGTGTCCCTAGAGGAGCTATTCTTTGTAAAGAGTAGTTGTTCCAATCAGCGTAAAATCTTTTGAGCTCAGTCTGGAGCTCACCGTGTGGGTTTCACCAAGAAATGTGTGAAATAGTGGCAGAGACCCTCTTAGTTGCCCAAAGAAGGGGAGGCAAGGGGGTCTCCCTTGCCCAAGTAGCTTTAAGTGACCGTGCAGGGGACACCTATGAGAAGAGGAGACCATCTCCAGGGCAGCCATGCAGTGTGTAATGCTAATTAAAGAGCACAGCCTATCTCCCTGCTCCAAAAGCAAGCAGCTCATTTGGAGAAGAAAAATCCAAATCTGCCTTAACTCGATGAGGGACTTCAAAGGGGAGAGGAGCTGTAGAAGCTGGCGTGTGGTACCAGGAAGAAGCGTCAGGTATGCAGGAAGGTCGAGCCCCTCCTAGGTGGTACCTGCAGCAGGGTAGCAGGATGAAGGGCGAGCGCCGGCTTGGATCTAATCTTCCTGCAAGTGAAACAAAGTGTGGTTTTTCTTTCATTTCTTCACGTGTGCCTTTTATAAACACGTGCAACTCTGTTGCCTGGTTTGGCTGTTGTGAGTAAATACTGTTATTTGCATGTTACCTTAAGCTGGCTTGAGCTAAGAGCGATTTCAAAGTAACTGGATAAGGATGGGGTGCTCTCTGCAGAGGGGTGTGGTGAAGCCATAAATCTTCATGAGCTCCCCAGCACCTTCTCCAAATATCCGGAGAGTAGCAGAGCAGGACACTCTTCCTGCATCCATCCCTCTCCCCCAACACCACGGGTCCAGCTGGGGTGCAGTGATCCCCATTAAAGCGGGGAAAAGATATCTCTGATGGGGTTGAGGAAGGCTCTGTGGCAGGTCCTGGGGTGGGAGGGTGGTGCTCCCTCCAGGCGAAGGCTTGGGGTGCTTGGAGGGAGGTCCTTGTTGCTGCAGGTGCTCTGCTGGTAGCAGCGCCGTTGGGTTGCTGGATGGGGTGGAGTTGTGCTGGTTTGTAAAGGTGCGAGTCCTCCACGGCATTTTAGTCAGCAATTTGGGATCACTCTCCTCACACTTCCAGGAGATGCCAGCAAATCCTTCCCATGCCATGGGATTAGTGACTCACTTTGCCAGGCCACAAGCTGTTTTCTCAGTCCTCACACGTTGCCTCCTGGCTCTGTTTTCTTCAGGAAGGAGAGGAGTGCAGCTCCCTATTTACCCAGTCTTTGCACCTTGGGGGATACTACAAGGAAGAGCAAGACCCCTAAAGGTCGTCTGCCCTCTTCTCCTCTCTCCAGCAGGATCAGAGCTCTCCAGTGGGCATGTTGTGGGGTTGTTCACATGCAGAGAGCCCCAATTTCCTACTGTCTTGGTCCATCTGAGGTGCGCACGACACTGGGGGAGGCAGCAGCCTCCTAGCCCATACCAGTCTTTGAGAGCAACGTTTTGTCATAATATTTTTTAATTTGATGGCTCTTTGTGTACAATGGGAGCGTGTGTACACGTGTCTGTGTTTGTGTATGTTTGGTGGTGGGGAAAACACACACTACTGTATTTTCATGTGAGCTTAAGTGAGTGGGCATTTTCCGTTAGCTTTCCAGAAATTGCCTTGATTGAAAAGCAGACCCAGCCTGTGCTGTTTCAGTCCATACTTTCCTGACTGTCCGTATGAGAGATGTTTCACGTGCCACCAACATCATTGCCAAGGTGTGCAGTGAAACCGCTGTATTTAGGCTGATGTCACCAGGCTGTTCCCCATGGTGAAAATCTGAAGTCAGGCAAAAGGGTGAGGAATCCAATCAGATTATTTTTATGGTTACAGTCTTGTCTGAACAAATGTTTTCTCACTGTCTTAATGGTTAGTCTGGCTTCAGTGATACAAATATTTACCAGTTTATAATAAACAGCTGAATCTACGGCCTACATAGTCACATTATTTAAAGATGAAAGTAAGTGGGATAAAAAAGTTAACATTTAAAGATTAAATTACTACATTGACTTTGAATAGGATTCTGCTCATGTTTATATCCAGTCCTGGCAAGGGAGAGCTACTGACTCATACTGGGGGTGACTGGGAGCGGGGTCTGTGCCACTATATGCAGTGCAAGTGTATTGATGTATGTTTTTCATTAACCCTCCCTCTAGGTTTGTTCCTGATTATGTTTTCCATCATCTCTATGGATTTCTTTGGCTTGGAAGCGGTGGAGTCTGGATACCTGATGTCATATTTTGGTGTCCTTCAAATGGTAAGTGAAGTGGAAGTCCCACTCTTGCCACACTGCTATTTAATCTGCTTTTTGACACATAGTCTTCCAAATCCAGGTGTAATACTGACATGAAAATCCTAGCTCTGCCATGTGGCACTTGGCTTCAAAACATAGAAGTGATTCAAAATTTATTCTGTTTCTTGATATGAGAAGGAATCAGCAACTAATGTCCTGAAAGCTTTCTTCCCCTTCTCCCTTTTTAAGCTGTGAAGCTAGAATTTCCTTGGACTGACTTACTGTCCTGGTTTTTGCTACAAACCTTACATTGAAGCTGAAGTGTCTTGACTGAGATTTTCCCTGGTGCAGGTTAGCTAATTTACCTTTACTTAAGTAGCACCCTGTAAATTTATGTGAGCAAATGATCTTACTGGCACTTTCAGAGATCCATTCAGTGTAGACAAAGGACTTGTTTCTGCTGCATGGAAACAAGCACAGCAAGCTTGTACTTCCCAAACAAACAAAAAAAAAACAACCAAAAAACAAACCCAAACAAAAGGGTGGGCAATGGAACCTGGTTAGGAGACTACCAAAACGGGTAAAAGAGTAATGTTAGCTGAATTAGCCAGTCACAGGGCCAACAAAATAAAGTGTTGTGTTATAACAGAATGTTCTTTTTGGAGGAAGAGGCTAATAATTTTGCAGAAAGAGCAACAGATGGTTATAAGCAAGCCCCAAGGTAGGAATGCAAGTTAAGCAATATCCTGAAGGAGGGTGGTCTTGTTATTAAAGCCGCCTTCATTTCCTGGGCATTGCCGCAGAGTTCCTGTGGGATCTGGGGGAGATTCTCCTCTGGGAAATGGGAGGTTTAGTTCCTTCCCTTGTGACCTGGATTTGACATGGTGTTGCCAGGCACCTGGGCTCTGTCCTGGTCTCACCAAATCTGGGCACCTTGGTAGAGCAGCTGAGGAGTGCGGCTGTACATCAGCAAGTGGTGTCTGCACTGCCTGGAGCCGAGCGGCTGGTGCCTTTGCCACGTGTGTTCTGGGAGGGGGGCTTTGGACTAGCCATCTCTTGGTCCTGTGAGCTCAACATCTGCTACCGGCTGGATGCACTCTCCTACCCACTCTCATTGGAAAGGAAACCAGTTTGCTGCTCCACAGCATGGAAACAGCGTGACAAGCGTGGTAATCAGCAGTCACTCTCCAAAGCACCTTTCTGACCCAAACTCCACGGCTAACAGAGGCTTTCCCTACGTTAGACTTTGTATGCTGCCTTCTAGACCAGGATCTACGAGTCACACAGGTTTTAGAGGGTCTGAGTCACCCTCCAATATCTTCTGACCCCTTTGAATGCAGAGGGACTCCCCAACAACTGTGCTCTTAACCTTAACTTAGACATATCAGTTAAATCCCTGTTATATATGTCTATACTGAAATCAAATTTGGGGGTGCAGCATGGCTGTGGTGTGCTTGCTTTTGAGCCAGGTAACGTGGGCGGGCAGCAATAGCACTTGTGCAGTCTGGCAGGAGTGGCTTTGTGTTGCTAAATGGAGCTTGGATGCTGCTGCTAGGTCCGGGCTATCTGTCTTCAGGACACTGCTGTTACATCTGGGATATCTGTCTGTCTTCACTGCTATTGTTTCCCAGGTTAGTTTGGTTGAAACTACTGTAGATAAGGTTACCTGCGCTGCTGTACTGGTGTGCCCTAAGTATAGATACAGCGCTGGAAGATCCGGGAACTGTAGCATTCAGTATGCTTCCTAACAAATACTCAGATGTCAGTTCTAACCAGGGAGTTGACCCTTCCCACAGTCACAGGGTTTCTTCTCTAAGAGACCGACCATACCTATTGCCACACTCTAACCCAGCAGTGGCCGACAGGCTCTGGTGCAGCATCTGCTTTGCCTCAGGACATTTGATACAGAAACCAGCTTTTGTCAGCCAAGCAGTTTTCTTTCTCCTATCAGTGCAGTTTCTGTCTGTGTTGCTACACATATTCTATAGCACAGGACTGTGGACATCAGAAATATAGGAGCGAAGGGATCATAGGATACAAACTTCTCTTCTTCATGATGGGGAATTTGGGTTTGCTGTCAGAACACCAACAAGGAAAGGGAAAAAAAAATGCTTTATGTTTTTCAAAGTCCAGGACACCTAATTCCTGGTGGCAGCAAAGCCATCTCACCTGAGCGGTCACAGAACACTGCTTTCTGCTTTGTTGCTTGTTCTTTCCACTTTATTACTGGCATTTCCAAGCTCTGCTCTGGCTTATGCATGACCAGATCCTCAGCTGGTCCAAACAACACTCTCACCATGTGGCTTTCAAATCATTGTAAAACATAAGAATCGGTGTCTTTACTTTCAGATCAAGTCTCTGTCTAGAACCACCCGAAGATTCCTCTTTCAGATAGTGATGGGGTTAACATTTTACAGCTGCTTTCTGTCGGGGTTCCTCCAGTGGAAGGTGCATGCAGCGAATGCAATGTGTGCTGGCTCTGTCCTGCCGAGCCCCACAGCTGCTTGTGTGCCTTCATGTTGCCTAAACTGGCATTTCAGATGCGTTTGTTTCTGCTGTACAGTGAATTGATACTGCTGGAGATATAAATGCAGATTAAGGTGCAAGCAGATTCCACCAGTCTGGATGGGTAAATGGTGATTAATATCTGCTGACTGGCTTTCCCACTTCACTGAGTAAATTATAGCTTTATTCATAAGGAATATAATGTCCTTTTCAATGAATTTCATCAACCAGATCCTCCGCTTTGATTTCTCATTCCCTAGTTTGCCTTTCCATAAAACATTGTGAGGGTTTTCCCATTCTCCTGGACGTGCTCTGAGCCCTCCTGTTAGAGGAAGCACGTCCCCTGCATTTACATCTCTCCCTGGACTTGAAAATGGGTCATGCTTAAGGACTCTTATAGATGGGAGAGCACACCACAGAAATCAAGGGGGAAATAAGAATTGAACCATGTCCTGTTTACTTTAAACCTGCCTGCAGACACTGAGCACAGTGCCTGGGTGGTTTCAGAGCACATCCAGCCGATGCACCCAGCACTGCATCCCAGGGTCTCGCCTGCTCCCAGCACACGTTGCATGCACTGAGTAGCTTCAGAGTTGCAAGCAAGGCTTAGCTGAACCCTCTACTCAACTCTTCTCCAAAAGTCATATGCTGACAAAAGCATTGCTCGGTCTGCCAATTCCTGGCAGGTTTTAGTAATATTATTTCTTTGTGTTATTGTATTTTCTATTTTTTTAAATTAAATAGTCTCAAAACAAACATCTTCCTCTTGCACAAAAGGTGATGTTGCACCCTCTTTCCCAGCGAAATCACCAGCCCCAGGATGACTCGAATATTGACGGTCTCTTCCCACTTTTCTCTCTCACCCCAAGGATGATATGCTCCAATTGCTTAGCCTAATTTTTCAGCTTCTCAGCCTTATTTAACCTACTGTGGTGAGGAGCAGCCAATGCACTGTAAACATCTGTTTCTCACCACACCTCCCATTTAAGCCAGCTGCAGATTACCTAGAGAGAAGATTTTGAATGGCCTTGGGTCTGTCCACTTAATTTTATTAAGTAGGCAACTCCAGTACTTTGTCATCAGCATCTCAAACAGCTCTTTGAGTGGGGAGATCAGCACAGAAACACCAACCCCACAGGAGGCGAGGCGCTTGACACCTTTGCAGATGGAGGACATTAGCCACCCTGCTAATTCAAGCAGCCCTCCTGAGGGATCCCATCAGGAGCTCCTCATCCTCACCTCATCATGCTTGGTCCTGTCTTGTCACTTTATGAACCCCAGGACCCCAACATTTGGGGGGGTGCCCCATGCCCAGCCTGAGAGGATCCCTGTGGGTTTGGAAGGAGGATTCAGGACTTGCTTTTGGAGCCTGGGAGCCTCATGGGCTTTGGCTGCCTGCTCCCCAGAGCACTTCTCTTGGTTGCTCCCTTGATGCACATCAGCTCTGTCCGCATGGGAACAGTTCATGGCACTTGCTAGCGGTGAAGTGGCTCGGCTGGTGCTGGTGGTAGGTTTTGTCCTTACAGTGCCATGCATGTAGCACCAATGACCACCATTCGTGGCATCCTTGGCATCCTCCTCCCTTTGCCGAGTTGGCTGCTCACAGCATGGTCACCCTTCACCTCACTGCTTGCTGCCATTTGTACCCTTCATGGAGGAACGTGGGTTGCCTGGCTGCTGCTCCCTACCTGTTTTGTGGAGACCCGAGTGGCCCAAAGTAATATATCTGCTGATGTGTTATTGTAAAAGTTCCATGGGAGTACGTGTCCACAGGGAATGGGAGCTTTCTGGCCTTCTGGATGAAGCACTGGCCCAGGAGCTGGCATCAATTTCCTGTTTGTGGTTAGGCAAAGATCATCATCTAACAGCAGCGGATATTGGAAAGTTAAGCGCAGTGAGGGTGGAAAGGTGGCTCACTTCTGGGTCAGGACAGAGCCAGACAAGGTCAGAGAAGGGTGTGTGGGAAGGCAGTGTCATAGCATTGGGACAAAGAGATGTCTGATGAGGCAACAAAGTCATTGATTAGAAAACTGAGTATGATCAAGGCTGGAGTGGGCTGATGGGGAAGTGAAAACAGCAAGTGGGGGATAATTCGAGCAATCCAGGGCTCTGCAGTGTTACCTGAAGCACCCTGATAGCATGGGGCTGTCTGATGAGCTGGGACTGTGCCAGTGTAAGTCAAGGAGGAGGAGTCAGGTGGGAGATAATGAAATGAGTAGAGGAAGGCAGACAGCAGGAGGGGTACCTCTGCACTGGGCGTCTGGCATTGCAGCGATTCCCTTGCTCATGATGTGTTTGAAGCATCTTTACCTGATCGCTGGTGGGTCTCCAGGCAAGAGGTGTGAGAGCCCGCCAGGGACGCAATCCCTCTGTCCTCCGGGGCTGGGCTTCCAGAGTCCTCTCATCTCAGAAGCCATGCAAACATAGTTTCCCTCATAGTGAATGCCTGGAGTGTGAGATGCCTTTCAATCTCCCTACAGAGAATAATTAATTTCATAATAATTTAAAATAATTTATCTTTGCATAATGGGCAGAAGCTGGCCTAAGCTCTGGATTTTTTTTTGGAGTTGTAAGCGCAATAGCGTGGAGAACTTCCAGGTGTAGTAACTGGCTTGGAAAATGCTGCTGGAGGATTAGGCGAGTGAAATACTTGGGAGTCCCTGGTTGGTATCTAAAGTCACATCTGATGCTTGGATTTCAAGCCACGGGAGAGGGTGGGGGAAGCTTTCCTTTAAGAACTTTTTCTCCCAAAAACCAAAGCAAAATGCACCAAACAAAAACTGTGTGGGACAAAGGGGTAGATATTTATAACCCTGAGGATCAAGAAATCATAAGACATCTGTTCTATTTACTGTGTTTAAATTTGTATTGTTATACAAACTCCACCTCTAGCTGTGCAGCTTCTGGAGGGACAAGTTGGTACGGAGTGATCCTGAAAAGATGAGAGAGATTCCTGGAGGAGAGATTTACATTGCATATCATCTTATCACCAGTCTGTCCCTCTTGCTTTTTTTTTTTTTTTTCCTCGCTGCACAGCAAAAGAGATGATTAAAGAGCCAGGGATTTAATTACAGCCAGGTATGCCTAGGGGGAAAACCCACTGGTGAAAGGACCTTGCAACAACAAACAGAAAGTTCTCCAGTTTCCTCGCTTTGAAGGATTTAAATCTGTGGAGGGGGGTGGGTTGGAGGGGGAAAGAAAGTGATTAGGCTGGAGTTTGCAAAACACATGGTCCTCTTCCCCCTGTTTGGCAGAGTGCTGCCTTCAGCAGTTTGGTCCTCCCCGTCAGCTCTCTTTCCAGTCCCACCGCCCTCCTGCTCCTCTGCAATACCTGAACTACTTCTGCAGCGCTTTCTGGCATCACCGTGTCAGTACAACAACTCCCTTTTCCCCCGCCCAAAGTTTTACACCACCTTCGGGCCCTGCTGAAAAGCCTCATGATTTTTGCTGCCCGCCGCGGTCTGCGCCAGCCGGTGCCCACCCGCGCGTCCCACCCAGCCGCGCTGTGCTCGCCCTGGGAACCGCCAGCTGGGCACAAGTTCAAAGGCGAGAGATACGGGTCCGGTGCGTGGGAGGCTGCCTCTGATGTGAATCATGCTATCTGCACTAGGGATGGGGCCCTGCATCTTCTCTGCTAGGCTGTACCAGCTTATCTGACCTGCTGCGCCTGCCTCTCCGACCTTCTCATGTCTTTTCATTTCCAGTTGGGTGAAAGGGAATTTATTTTGTTGCCGGGCTCCTCAAGCTTTCAGTCAGTGCTGATGGAACAATCTGTAGAAACAGTCCTGCGTCTGCTGAGCGTGGAGGACCAACCAAGCATCTGCATAACTCCTCTAACCTCCACCAAGGAGATTAGCTACTTGCAGGTGCCAGTCCTGCTCAGCAGCGGCTCCAGGCAGCAAGGCTAGTGCTTCACTGTTCAAAAATCTTCCAAAAGCTAGCACCTTAAACCTTCAAACAGCAGCTATCTTTTCCATCCTGCAAGGGATTCCCGAAATGAGGTTAACAATAAAATGGGTAATTTGCTCTTCTGAGCAAATGGGAGCCCATAAGACAGTGATAGACGTGGAGAGTATTGTTGTGCATGGTCAGCTGAACTAGTGTACCGAATCCCCAGTTTGGCGAATCCAGCAGAACGACAAGGAGAGATCTGGCTGTTCTTACGCATTTATTGTGAGACTTATTTGCCTTTAAAAAAGGATGAGGGGAGGAAAAAAAAAAAGACGAGTTGGTTTTTCCTGTGACATGTGTACATAGCCACGGGCAGTGCCCGTTATTTCACTTGCAAACAATTTCCTCTCTCTTTTGTTTATTGATGACAGAAGGCATTCCAGCCAGGTACACTGGCTCTTCCCCGACTTCAAAGGAGGTCAGGTTACAAAGGCAAGCACCATCCAGGCAAAGCGAAATGCAGGAGGGGAAGGCCCTTCGCAGTCGATCTCAAGAGGCGGTTACATGCAAGGAAAAAGCCCAGAATATGCTAGCAGGAATAAAAATAAGGATAAATCCGATTGTCAGTGCCACCCAGGCTTGTCCATGGGAGAGACAATGGCCAAGTCATCTGAGATGCCCCTGCTACACCCGGGCCATGGCAGCACACGTCCAAACCCTGAACCCCCTTCTGCCTCCTCCTGAGTGTGCCTGTGCAGGCTGCCCACGCAAACCTGGGGATTGTGCACCCAGGGAAAATTGCAGGCTGGAAATAATGGGGTTTCAGGTGTAAATTCAGACTGGAAGTGAGTTCAGAACTCCTGGTGACTGGAAACATTACCCAGCACCTAAATCAAGGTGGTGTGTCCAAAATCAAGATGATGGGCCCTGCCTGCCTGCCTGGGACTCATGGCTGGATTGGCAACGACCATTCTGGGGAGGGGGTCAGGCAGCCCATGTAACCAGTGGGGAGGCTACAGTCTGTATGACCCAAGGATGGCTGCTCAGCCCCAAAGGGAAAGCAGGTGACTTGGGCTGACACTTGCCCTTGGAAAAATGTGCCACCACTGAGTTAGTTGGGTCAGCAGTGGTGTTTTACCTCATGCTTGTATTGCCACACTCTGAGTGACGGGGAAGCCCATGCTGAATGCCAGCCTTAGCACAAGGACTGTCCCTCTGCCCCGCTTAGTCCGGGGACAGCCCGGTCTGCTTATCTCCAGATCCTGCCTGCTCAGAGCCTGGCTTTGCTGCAGCGGTTCTTTTTGCCTGCGCTTAGGTGCTTGCGTGTAGTGATGGAGATGTTTTGGGGTATGCCATTCCCACGGCCATCAGACAGGGCTGCTCTGGGACGATGCTGATGATATACCCCAATGACTCAAGGAAGGGCAGGGACCGGGCTGTGCCTGCATGGTGTATCCCAATTAAATATGCCATTCAAGTCTGGGCAAATTGAGAAACGTTTCCTTTCCTCCAGTGCCTCAGCAGAGCCGAACTGGGGTTCAGGTGATGCCACCACTGAGTCAAGCCATGTCCTGTGATGGGGTTCAGCCCCTGTCCCATGTGACTCAGCACAGCTCCAACCAGGGCGCGCTGGCAGAAGTGACTGGGAAGTTGCAAAAAGTTAATGATGATTCTTCTTCGGTTTTAGGAGCACTCAGCTTAATGAAGTGTTACTCAGCAGCTTCTCCACCCACCCCCTGAGTAGAAGCTGCCAGGGCTGGTATCAGCCTCCTCCTGGGTCCGCGGCAGGGCTTTCAGCCGGGATGACTCAGGTCACCCCATGCATCGTCCACCAGTGTCCCCAAGGCCTCTCAGCAGGTGACATGACCCAGGAGAGACATGTGGGGCCTGTGCCACCATCACGTGTGGCTGGGAACATGTCAGGCAAGCTCTCAAGCCCTGCCCAAGGGTGGGGACAGGGACAAAAAGGAGGCAGGAAAAGTGTTTACTGGGGACTAAAATGTCTACTCGGTGTGATGTGCCCTTCGTGTCAAAAATTGCTTGGGCTCTGAAGCAAAGTGAAGGGTCGAGTTTTGATGTTTTCCATTAAGTTGTAGCTTGTTGGAAATATATTTAATTTGTGGCTATTGTTCCTAATGTTAGCTTTATTTTAACTCTATTACTATTTGCTTTTTACTTTTTTTTAATTTTAAGTAATTAAATTGCTTTTTCTGGACTGTTTGTCATAGATTAACATTTGCTTTCTTTTAACTTACTTTCTTATTTATTTTGCACTCATTTCCTTTCAGTTGAGTTTGGGTTTCACAGCAAGGCTGAGCACAGCTTAGTGTCATTGCAGGTCCAAGCAGAGCAGGGAGGTTTTCTCCAGGATGGACTGCTACTGAAACGAAGCCATCCTGCCAAACAAAGCATTTGGAACTAGAGCTCTTCTTTCAAGTCAGAGGGGTTTTTGCTTGGATCAAACAAACCCTTTCAAGGCAGAGAAAACTCGGTAGATTCCTATCTGACCCTCCCCTGAAATGCAGTCAGTCAGGCTTCATTTTCACAGTGAACTCTTCCAGCCTCTGTCCTCTCATGTCCACTTGGGCCAGTATCACCTGAAGTATAGGAGATGCTGTACAGAGAAATAGAAGAGGGAATCTTTTCTCTGCAAAGTGCTAGAAAAGTCAAATACTTCCTGGGATTTAAATTTTTTGCTTCTCCTTCCCTTATCCTCTCTCTCAGTTTTTATTTAAAATCTGTAAAACCAGTTTTCCATCCCTCATGTCTGCGCATACTGCTGGGGCTGGGTATTAGCATCTCCGTCGTACTTGTTTTCTGCTTAAAAAGGATGAACCACCCAATTTGTATATTTACAGTTTTAAATAATGGCAAGAGAAGGTACAGGAGGCATTTTCCTCCTCTGCACATAAATGTATAGTTTTCCTTTGGGAGGATTTGCCAAGAATAAAGATCTTAGTATTCACTGTATTTCACAAAAACATCACAAGTTAGAAAAATTCATTTGTATCTGAAAGTGTATTTAGAAAGTTTCAGTCACCGCTGGTGAGTAGTCAGTGATGGTAAACTCAGCCATGCACCCGAGTAAAGACTTTCAGCTGAAGGATGGATCTAGCCTTAGGATGCAAAATGCTTGCCATAATGGATCGTGTCTTCCAGCCATTTGCTGTGACAAGGAGGTCCCTTTAAAAAAAAAAAAAAAAAAAAAAAAAAAAAAAAAAAGAGGGAATAACCTATTTGCTGCCTTTAATTTGCTTGAAGCACTGTAGAAATTCTCTTTTGAACTTATTTGAATTGTTATCTATTGGGCTTAATGGTACTCGTGTGCTTCTTTCCCAGGTTGTCCAGGGTCTGGTCATTGGAAAACTCACTAAGAGCTGCACGGAGAGGACCCTGCTCAGGCTCAGCGTCTTCGTCTTCGCCGGCGTGGGCCTCGGCATGGTACGGCTCAGCAGGAAATCATCCACGGTGCCTTTTAATAATGCAGCAGCACAAGGTCCATGAGACCTGGCTGCAAGTTCTGCCCCTTAAAATGCCACCACTGTCTTTGCTGGGTGGTCCTCGGAAGGGAAACCAGCTCTCCTGGGCCTCTGCGCAAACAGCTGCGCTCAGCACTGCACCCAATAATAGCGAGATGTGTGAGTAATAGTTACGAGGATTTAAAAAAAATTAATCTATCACAGAAACTTGTTAAGTCCCTCCTGAGTCACTGGCTTTGCATAGAAATCCTGCCCTTGGTCTTGTCAGCAGCTGCATTTCCTGAACTACCCAGAAAGTAAATGAAGATTAAGGGGAGGAAAATCATTGTAGGTTGTACCCTGCTGAGAGACAGCGGAGGTTGTGTGTTCTTCTTCTGGGGCCTTATGTTTGCCTAATTCCCCCAAGCTGAAACTGTTTGGGGAAGGAGGCAGCAAGGCAATAATTTTGTTCCTCCATTTTGGGATAATTGATGTTACCCAGCGCTGGTTGTGTCTGCATGGTCGACAGCTGATGCCAATCTCAAGCGGTAATTAGAAAACCAAGTTGACGTAGACAGCTCTGCTGGTAAGCCTCTTTGCTCAGATAAGCCACGTTCTGCCAACTGATAGTTCTGCCCAGGCCGCAGGGATGGAGGAAGGGTGTGCATCAGTCCCTGTCAGTGAGATGGGCCCAAAGGATGGTTGGGCTGCATCAGCCTTTCCACATTCCCTGCAGGATTTGGCCTCAAGCCTTGTTGCTGGGACACTGCTGCTTCTGCCAGCACGGGTAGGATGGGTGCCATTCCTGCAACCGTGCTGCAGCCACAGGGAGGCCAGGGCCAAATCCTGGAGGGTACTGAGGCTTGTTGTTCCCAGCTATACGGTTGAGACGAGGCACCTACACACCTTAGCTAATCTGAAGCTAAATCATGTGTCTGAGATGAGGCTGGGAAGTGAGGGTTGGCTCTGCACATGGAGTGTGGTCACCTTCTCTGGGATTTTGGGGCTCACAGAGATGCTGCTGGGTGGTAGGATGCTCAGGAAGGGTCTCTCCCACCTGGTGTCATGTGGTTTTGGCTGGCATGGATGTGTCCCCTTAGTATGGGACATCTGCACAGGGCTTGGTGCTTCTGAGCATGGCTCAGGAAGGGCTTTGAAGGTCTCACCATTGCTTTTTGGTCATGGGTGGAGAAATTAGGTAGGACCTGAGCATCCCCAAATGGGTGCAGGGCAGAGTACCACTGGGGCTGGCTCCCTGTGCCAAAGCCCAGTCCCATGGCAATCAGGCAGAGGAGCAACATGGAGTAAATGGGTTTTGTGCGCTGAGGTCTCACTGAGGCTGGAGGTGGCTGGAGGTAGGAGAGAAAGGCAGCAGAGGGACACATGGGGCAGCACAGCTTGCAGTGCCTAATGCCCTAGCATGGGGAGACTCACACTGGCTGCGCGGGAAGGGGAGCCAGGAAGGGAAATGGTTTTGGAGTTGGCAATTACACCAAGCCTGGAGGGCTCTGGACATCCTGACAGCACAGGCCTGGGGACAAGGGTCAGCAATGACTTCCCACGAGAACTATTCATAGGCAAACGCAGCTGCAATCCTTCGCTGGGGACGCCTTATTAAAAAGCACTCTGTTCAAGCGGCTGCTGAGAACACATCCGTTTCTGGGGTAGCTTTCTGTCTCGGTGGGGATGAGTGCTGTCACAGCAGCAGGGCCCAAATGCAGAGATTAATGCACAAAGCTTTTAATCCTGCACAGCCACCAGTGGAAGAGCATCCCGCCCACTGTGCCCTTGCTGCATCGGGCCTCCAAATGAAGCTGATCTCCTCCCCAAAGCAGAAATCCTGGGAAGAGGATGCAGGATGTTCCCAGCAGTCGACTGCTGGAGTTGGGAAGGGGTGGACTGGGAGCTCGGCAGTAACACCTGGAAAAGGAGAGGAGGGGAGAGCCAGTGTCTGATCTGCAGATGTAAGGCGGGAACACGTGGGCAGGAGTGTAGGAGGGCTTGGCGGTTGCAACGGGGAAGTTTTTTCTCTTTGTCTGAAGGTATGGCTGTGCCTCATCCTGCCTTGCTGCCTTCATTTCCCAGGTGTTTGCATTTTGAGCCTGTCTGCTGAAACTCCTGGTTCTGCCTCCCTCACCTTGAAAAATTACTTCAGATCTGCTCAGGTCAAAAAGGGTCCTACAAACCCAGCAGCTGAAGTGCAGCAGAGACTGGGCTCTGCCTGGCTCTGAGTCCTAGGGCAGCAAGGAGCTATTTCCCCTGTTTTTTACAGGAGGTACAGACATGACTCTGCTCTTTTCTGCCCACTTGCTTCAGCCTATGAGGGAATTCATCCAGAGCAGTGGGGGTTAAAGCTGTTTTTTCCTACAAGCTCTGCAATGTTGTCCTGCAATGACATTTGCCCTAGCAAGGAATTATTCTCCCTCCGTCTGAGTGTTTATGTACCAAATACCTGTTCCTCTGGCTTTGTTCTCTGGTTCCTTAATCAGAAGTGCCTAGATCTTAACCAAAACGTAGGCAAAGAGCCCCTCCAAGGAGAGAAACCTGGTTCTGTGTGACTCTAGAGGGGAACTAGGAATAAACCTCAATATTTCCAAGTCATTAGTGAGAAATGTCTCTGGGCTTCTCCGTCTTCTGTAGCCAAGAGGCAGGGACCAGATCGTAGGAGAGAGAACCCCAGAGAATGAAACTTCTGGCTAAACCAGTAACAGAAATATTTTCCAGCCACAATAACACACCTTGAGACATGGGTGAGGGCAAGAGACTTGCAAGAAAGGGGGAATTTCCTTTCCATGTCCCAGAGATATCCATTCATTTGACCAGCAGGGCTTCTGAATGAGCCGAGCGCCGCTTTAGCCCCATGGCTTAGGGAGCCTCAGTGCTATTGTTTCAATATTAAACAGCTGGAGGGATGTCTCCACTAAGAATATGTGCAATAACAAAATCATTACTCTCACTAATTATGCTCGCTAATGTGCATTTATGGCCAGAAGACCTATTCCAGATTACCGAATTCAGTGAATTTATTAGCAAGGAAGCAGCAGAACAGGATTAGAAATCCCAGAGGTACGGTGTTACATAATGCACAGCGCTCATTTATTTTGACAAGCTCAGTTTAGTTTTAATTATTTATGATAATGAACTGAAATACCTTCTCTAGGCTGTTTTGTATAAGTAATGGAGGCTTCCTGAAGTACACCATATGCATCTGCTGTTCAACGTTTCCTCAGGAGTTGGACAAGAGACAGAAGACAGGGGGAACGATGCAGGGACGTCACTAATTCCCAGACACTAAAAATACCCACAGCAGTGCCGGAGAAACGTGCTGCCAGGTTGTAGGGTATCATTTGCTCCTTGCTCCACGTGCTTGGAATAATTCACAGCAGACAAATGGTGGGGCTGTGAAAGACCCTGCAATGGCCAAGGCCATGCCGTCATGTATCAGTTGTGGCTCCCACAATTTACCCAAGTCATGGCTTTGACTTGTGATGTTTTTCTAGGTTGTTACTTTGCACAGTCACTGCTTGTGCTCTCTAATGATCCGTGGTCTGATGTGTCCTGTCCCTTAGGCCCTGATGAGGACCGTGTGGCACTACTGCATCATTGCGGTGCCACTGGTGTTCGCCTTCAGCATGCTGGGCACCATCACCGACAGCATCCTCACCAAGGCTGTCCCCTCCTCTGACACTGGTAAGACTCATCAAGAAAGATCAGACTGGTCTTTTCTCATTTTTGACTCCTTTGGGTGCTTCTCAGCTCACACCACTGCTATCAAATTCTGGGGCATATTCATGACAAACACCCAATTCCCCAGCAGATCTGGCCGGGCAGTTGCGTGCGATGGGCGTCAGCAGAGCAGATGAACAGGAATCAGTGTTGCTAATATGGGATGAGCTTGAACAACATTGAGCAAGCATCCCGTGACCCAGTGCTCCTGGGCCGGTGCCACCTGCTGATGTCCATAGTGGTGGGCACAGCAAGGGAAAGCTCTCCCAAACTCTCCTTTCCATGGGAAGCTGAGATATGTTTAAAAAAAAAAAAAAAAAAAAAAAAAAAAAAGCATCTACTTTTCCACCATGACTGAGAGGGCTGCTCATTCACACCTTTTAAGTTAGGGCATGTCAGGAGGGTGTTCTGGATCACCCTTTGGAAACATGCTTTGCTGGATGCAGTAATTGTCCTCCTCTCTACATTCTGGATGTATTTCAGTCAAAGAGTTACTGTATTTCTCTTTACAAGGTGGCTGAAATGCACACAAATCTTTATACCTGGGGTTTTAGTTCTGTCAATGAAGGAAATATGCCTGCGTCACTGTCACGGGAGCCTTGCTATGTTTGTCCCAGGATGGAGCTGGTTTAACTCAGCTTGGTGTATTTTGCTCAAGCTCTTTCAGGGTTTTCTCCCAGAACTGCATTCACCAGGTACCCAAGGGTGTCTCTGCTTTAGCTGAGTCTTTTTGGGATGCCAGCCTGCACCCTTCATCTTCCCAGCAGCTGTCTGAGCAGATACCTCGGCACAGACCCTACGGAGAATGGGAGTTACAGTTTGCACAGCCCATTAGTGAAGTTTATAAAGCACTTTTGAGATGCTTCTGGATTAAGAGCTTTTTAAAATGTCACTTCAGTAGTTTATTTTAGAGCTGACCATCACATCTCCTACACATGGCGGGAGCCTGTGATTTCTGAGTGCGATACTTCTACCTGGGAGGACCACTTAGTTCCTGGGGAGGTGAGGACTGGGGATGTCTCAGCTCCTCCACTTGTCTGGGAAGAAAATCTGCTGTTTCATGAGTTGGGGCAATGTTCAGGGAGGGAGAGCTGGGGGAAGGGCACCAAGCAGCTTTGGGACATACAGCCAAGCTGGAATTCATCCAAGCTCTTCTCAAAGGGGCTTTGTGAGGAAAACCGGAGCATTGCTTGGCTTTTAAAGCCTGGAGGCAAGCTTTGGTCAGAGAGGAAAATGGGCTTAGTTGCCTCATCCTGCTCCCTGCTTGCGTATGTTGTTAGGTCAGCCTGCAGCTCGGCAGGGCGGATGGTCTCCGCACACCAGGGCAGCACGGAGGCAGCTTGCGGGGTGCTGCAGAGGGTCAGGAGGGGGTGGCAGGACAACAGGGAGCCATGGGTTCTCCAGGGTTTTCTTCTGCCCATCCATCCTGGACTGATGCCATACCAAGTGCTACTACAAATTGCAGAGTTACGGCTGGCTTGAGACTGAACGTGCCAGGGAAGGATGCTGCTGGCACGGAGGATGGTGGCACTGGGGGAAAACCTTGTATCCACTGCACGTCCCTGGCCCTCGCCTTTCAATCTGTGCTTTCTCCTTGCAACGTTTCCGAGGGAAGAGGCATCTGATGGTTTTGTGCTTGCTTTGGATGCACCCGGGCAGGGGCCAGGACGAAGGCAGGAATGCCTGACGCAGCAGAGCCGACAAGCTGCCTCTCCGCAGCAGCTGCGGCAGTGACGGCGTGGGTGTCTCGCAGAGAAATGCGGCTATTAAAATGCCTGCCATCCGTCTCTGGCCGTGGGTGGCACCCCGCAACGGCTGCTCCACCCGTACAGCAGCTAAAAGGCTGCTCCTTCCTATGCGAGCCTGTGACCAGCTCTGTAAAGCGAGCACTTCAGTGGCATGTTAGAAATCCCTGCTTTTCTAAGAGTGTGGAAATCTGGCTTTATGAAAAAGCATCACTGCATCAAAAACCTGAGTGCTAGCTTGCAACAACTTTTAGCTAGTGCAAGGAAATCACACACTGAGATTTTGCCTTTGGAAACATCACTTTTGAGCCTTGCTGCTGTCTTTTCCCGATTTTTTTTTTTTTTTTTTGCCAGCCTGAGGCCAGCAGAGCCCATGGAGGTTTTTTTTGGGCCAGGGAGAGGCTTTCTGAGGAACTGGAATTCGGGCTGAGCTCTAGTGTCTGTCTCATCGTGGGGCTGGAACGGATGGGACGTTGCAGGAGGATAACCTGTCCACCCATGCTAGACTCTGAGTCACCTATACTTGCCTTTTAAATAGGTGTCTTGGAAGGGGAACAGTGGGACGTAGGATGGCACCATCCCTTGCACCCATCATCCTGCTTTCAGGAGCGATCCAAGGTCACTTCTTACTAAGGCTGATGAGTTTACCACTTGCTCTTTGCTTATGGCTGAGGCTTTGCACTGAAGTGAAGATAGCGGAAATGATTTCATTCGTTTCCCTTTGATATTTTTTTTCCCCTCTCCTCATCTTCAAAGGCAGGAAGGGAAAATTCTGCCCAATGTGCACATGCTGTTCAGCTGGGCGTGCAAGCCAGTGGGAGGGGAGCCCCGAGCCCAGGGGGACTTGCATCTGCACAAGCACTCCTTGTCAACCCTGCTCCCTCCCCGAGAATGGAGGTCTTGTTTCTGCACAGAGCCCCCCACCCTCGGGGGAGGGAGGGAGGAAGCCCAGCAGAGCCTCCTTGCGTAATGGGCCCACGTTTCCTGATTTTATTTGCACATCAGACACAAAACCTTAGGAGGAGAGCTTGCAGCCAGGCGGGGCTCGGCACACTGAACCCCCTAGCTTTGCTCAGGCTTTGCTGGTTGGAAGGCAGCCGCTGGTGCGATGACCTAATCATTGAATCAGGCCCCGCGATTGCCCGCGGGTGTGTGGCTGATCTGGGCCAGCACCATCAGCTGAGCAACAGGATGTGAGCTGGAAGGAGGTTGAGCCGGTGTGCCCGGCACAGCGGAGGATGGGAGGAGGGATGGAGCTGCCCGGCCTGGGGAGCTGCCAACACCCAACCCTGAAACCTGCGGGAGGAGAGGAGGGCTGAGCAGGAGGGGAGGATGGGCTCCCAGCCGGGATGGGTCATGCCAGCTATGGGAAAAGGGGGAGAGAAGCTGGGGAGGGAGGAAGAAGGGCAGGGAAGGTGTAGAAAGTGGGATAACTGTGATGAAGAAGGTGAGCATGTGCGTTGGCAGAGCTGCACAAAGTGACGCAGGAGTTACTTCTGCTGAGATGGTGACTTGTCCCAGTTAAAGGTCTTGCCGTAAATGAGATCCAGCACATGCACAGCTTTGCAGTAGAGCTAGAGCCATGTTGCAGAGCTGAGATTTACAGTGTCCCAAAGCTCGAGGGCGTCTGACACGAGGGAACTAATTTAAGCCCATTAAACAGAAATTATCTTTCTCAGCAACATGTTGGAGAAGTGCAGAGGGAGAGCCCAGCCTTTTAAGAGGATGGATTTCTGCTCTGGAAAAAAAAAAAAAAAGGAAAGGAAAAAAGTGCCTCCTCAATCATAAGAGCCAGTTTGGCAATTTTATGTAGTAATTAGTTTAATTCAAATACCTAGAGGGGAAAAAATAATTGCAAAACCTGCCCAGAAAGTTTGGTGGTTGTGGGATGGTTCCCATTGGCAAAGGGTCAAGGCGAGGTCCCACCCATGGCCTTTGTGTTCCCATGCGCGGGAGGAGCACTCAGCAGCTTCCCGGGAGATTTCCCTCTCCACGGGGCTACGCCCTCGGCTCGGGCTCATTGCACAAGTATTTTAAGCATGCTGATAAAAGCCCAGCAGTCGCTGGCCGGCATTGCGCTAACACCTGGCTGCCTCTTCCCTCTCGGAGCCACGGATCATTTCCCCATGGTTACCCACGTTAAATCTCGCTGTGGGCTCCACATCTCCTTCCATGCAGGACAGCATCCTCATCCTTCCCAGATGCTGCTGGCCTTGTGTGGTGGCAATGCCTCAATGCATGTCTTGGTGGAAAATTGATACCAAACAGCCCAAGTAATCATACTGATATTAAAATAAATAAATTACTGCAAACATCATTTTAGAGCAGGGCACAAGATTCTTGCATAGGCTGCCAGCTTGCCTTTCCTCCCCGTGTTGGGGGCTAATGATTTTCTGGCCAGCCAGGTGTTTTTTCTCCCGACTGTGATAGTCATCCTGCAACTGCAAGGCAAAAGAGCACACAGGGTGCATGGGGGACAGCTTTGAATCCCGTGGGACGTCCTGGCTGTCCGTCTGTGTGTGGAAAGAACCTGCCTTTGCCAAACTGGAGGTGCTTCCCCGTCCGCCGGGTTCCTGTTAATGATGCAAATGGGAGAGCTGCTGGAGGGGCAAGCAGCCCAGCTGAGAGAAGGGCTCACATTTCCATCCAAATTGAAATATCCGTTCTTTTTGCAAGGGAGGTGGGGGAGTATCTCAAGGGGGTTCAGTCTTTATCTATGGTTTTATTTATTTATCCTTAAAGACCTAGTTAGCCCTAAGCCTCTTGCTACTGCTAAACCCTCGAGAGCTGTTTCTCTGTCCCACACAAGTGAATAAACAGCAATAGCAGCAGCTTGGGTGAAACAGAGGCCTCTTGGGTAATTATGATGCTGGAAGAAGCTGTGTGATTTGCTTAGAAGTCTCAAACACAAGCCTAGAAATTACCTTTCTTTCCTAACCCCATGCAGTAGTTACCAGCCCTGCTAGATGCGATGGTGAGAAGCAGCTTCTGGGGCCAAAGGCATCCTTGGGCCCTGGTGAAGGCAGCAGTGAGCACTGACTTGCCTTTCGGGCAGTGATACCGTCGTCTGGACCACTCAGTAAAGAGCTGAGCTGGCTCGTGGTGGAAACTAGTCCCAGTGCCTCCAGGAGTCCTTAGCCTTAACAAACCCTAACTGGACCTCTATAAATTAATGCAAGAGATTAGTTGAAGTGATTTGCTACTACTGCAGGGAAACACCATCAGGGATGAAGGAGTTCCCACATGCTCTTCTTTGCTTTTCTCTCCCAAGACTTGCTCTCACCCTGTGGTCTCTGCTGTCTCTCCTAGGTACCATGCTCGGGATTTGCGCCTCGGTGCAACCCCTGATTCGGACGGTGGGCCCAACCATCGGTGGACTTCTATACAAACAATTTGGAGTCTCCTCCTTTGGTTATTTACAGCTAGTGGTCAATATAGGTTTGTCTGTTTACCTCTTAAAGAATAAAATCCCACTGAGAGAGGTGAAAAGCCAATAATTCAGTCACAAGGAAGTACACACCCCCCCTTACTTTTTCCAACAAAATAAAAATGTTCTTGAGTTTTACTTTTGATTCCATAAACCTGGAATACAACCATTTGAACAATACCTTGCATTTCACCAACATTTGCCTCTAAGGACAGATCAATTTGCAAAGGCCTTGGAGCTGTGCTGGAGCAGCTGGCAGCCGCAGGACCCCGGGAACTATCAGGTTCCCCCCTGCAGTGGTGGCTGTCATTGCAGGCACTAGCTCCAGATCCTCAGCTGTTGTCAGTCAGCATTCCTGTCTGGATTCACCGAAACTAAGGGGATTAGGAGCCAGTGCCTCTGCTCTGGTTTGGCCTGTTATTTCACCTCCTCTGCAACCGTACCGAGGAAAATCAGGGTAAAACACATCTGCTTTCGAGTGTCATTTTACTGCATTAAATGCACCCCTGGAGTTCTTGTGCTAGAGGGGGATCGAGGCCAAAGGCTTTCACTGTGGCCAAAAGTTTGCTACACCCACAGCCCAAACACGTGCAACCCTACCTCTGCACGAGCCCGGCGGGCGGCAGCGCAGCTGCCAGCAGTGTGCAAGGAGGATGCAAAGCCCGGGTGTAGCACACGGCAGTGCCAGTCTCCCTGCTGCTTCCAGAAACAGGGACCAACCCTCCTTCCAGGTTTGGGGGTTTTTGCCCCCTGTTCTGTCACTCTTGCTCTTACTACAGGCTGCTTGTAATTACATACTTTGCAGCCTCCTCTAGTACAAAGTCTCCTGCAAGAATTTCACTGATAGTAGAAGGGGTAAATTACCTGATTGAAATTACCAAATTTGCAGGATTAGTAGCGAGTACTTTGCCTGATAAGATCATAGTCCTGACGGCCAGAGCCAAGTCCTGTGTTGCACCATTGCTCTCGAGGAAGCCCAGACTGGTTAGTGCGTTAGTTAGAGCTTCACAAGATAAAACTTCAGTACTTTTATCAGAAAAAATTTTCCTCCAAGCTTCTTGTTCTGGGCGCTATGGCAAAAAAAGCCCGTCTATGTTCTTCCCAATTGGCCTGTAGAAATTTAACTCACTCTAGAGACTGCAGAGCTGGAGGAAGAGGAGAGAGCAAGTTCAGCTTGCTTTGCTGCAAAGCTGAGGAATCCCATGGAGCGTCAGCACTGCGTTATTCCAAAATCAAAAATCCAGTTTTCTGCCTTAGCGCAGCACTAAGCTCCAGGGGCTGAGGAGAAAACGTTGGGGGATAGCAAACAGCAACATTTTACTGTTGCAGGGAGCTCTTGCACCTTCTGTCGCCACCATTACTAGATTAGCTGGGAAAGCACTTCAAAAGGCGTGCTTATCCAAGCTGTGGTAGGCTTTCCTATTTCCACCACTGACCAGAGTTGGACCTCAACACACTTTCCCTCCCCAGTCAGGAGACAAGGTCAAACACAAATGGGTTATCTGGGCTTTCTCCACCTCCCGCTGGCCAGTCCAGGGCACCAAAAAGCTGAGCTTACCCTCTCTTGTTAAGCCACTAAACCACTGCCTGCTCCACAAACATGCACCAACAAAAGTTACTGCAGCCCAGAGTATAGTAATAAAAAGTGAACATTTCAAGTAATTTATTTGGAATGGACATATTAATGCAAAAGCAATATTAAGACCAGTAACTGCTGAAAGACATTCATCAAAATAAATACAAATATAGATACTACAAATAATTTAAATTGTGTTTAACACCACCAGTCAGTGTTGAATCTTCCTTGCCTCTCATAAATAGAAGATAATCGTTCGCAAAGCTGCGCCACTCAAAACACGTGGACACTTTGCTAGAAGTCCTTTATGAAAGTCTTTGGTTTTTCTTTAAATGCATCTCAGGCAAAGCTCAGGGCTCTTTGCTCAGCAGCCTCAACGGGCTTGGAGAAAACCAAGCTGTTCCAGCTCTCTTCTTTGCTTTCCTTCATTGGTACCCTGTCCCATTTCAGTCCAAGACACTTGATCTGGTTTATCATCCAGTGGTAAGCTCTAAAGGCAGCAAGAGAAAGGAGGTTAGTTAAGTGAACAGGACAGCAGGGCATGAAAAAAAAGAGGGGGACTTTCAAGGGAGAGTAAGCGTTCAGCATTTATTTTCGCAGATATCATGTTTTTAGCAATTTCTGGAAGGAAAGCACTGCCAAATGCTATTTCTTATTCACATCCTCCCCCCAGCTCTACTTCCCAGCACCCTGCATGAGCCCAGCTCCCACCAGAAATTCCCAGCGATGCACTGGAAAAGGGGGAGCGAGCCCCAGAACTCCCGCGCCGAGGCGGCCGGGCAGCGCGCCCCAGTTTCGGGGTGCGGCCACAGGCACCTTCTCGGGCCGGAGAGGCGGCAGCCGGGGAGTCCCTCCGGCAAAAGAAGGGGGCGAGGGGAGCTCCCACCGCCCATTCGATTTCCTGAAGCAGGCGTGGGGTGGAATAATAATAATAATTTAAAAAACCC